TCCTTCGTGAGCTCAGGCTCGTGATATTTTAACTTTGCCTGTACTTTTCACCCTTTGGTTGACACCTCGCCTCAACAATCGCCAACCGAAAGTGCACGCCTGTTAATTGCCAACTTATCCAAAATATTTATTTTTCACAGCCTACTATTTCATCAACCAAAGGGTGAAAAGTACAGGCAAAGTTAAAATATCACGAGCCTGAGCTCACGAAGGATGGAAAGTGAAGTGGGTGTGCTGGGCGCCAGAATGGATGCAAAGCCACTGGCCTTGAAATGTTGGGTGGAGTTAAGGCGAACACGATTGTTGAGGCGAGGTGTCACGATGAGAGCGGGAATGGATACGATGTGTGGAGTGTGAGTGATTGGTGGAAGGTGGGGATGCGGGGGCAGGGAAATGGTGAGAAGCGGGGGGTGAGTACGGAGTAGTAAATGGCAAGATTAGAAGAGTGGATTACTTTGAGTTGTGCTGCGTTTAGCTGTAACATTTAAAATAGCTTAAAATAAGCGGCGGTGCGCGTCGCGATGGCCGAGTGGTTAAGGCGATGGACTAGAAATCCATTGGGGTCTCCCCGCGCAGGTTCAAATCCTGCTCGCGACGAGTGTCATCACCTTTTCCTTCCTCCCCCTCTACTCCCTCACCCCGTATGTGCACGCAGCGTGTGGTCCTCCGTCCACATTGTTATGGCTGAGCTGGGACAATGCTCCGCCTGCATGCTACTGGCACAGGGAAGGCCAGGTTGTTGCACGAATGACAGCACTACAGACCTCAGGTTCAGGTTCCGCACCCGAGCTGTCGATTCTTGATAGGTTTGTGTCTCGTCGTGCTGGCTGCAGCAGCCGTTGGCGGGAGGAGGGAGGATTGCGGAGGTGGGGCAGTGCATGGTCGACGATGAGCGAACAATGGGAAGAGGATGTAGTGGTGTGTTATCTGCCGCCTGTCTTGACTTGGTCTGCAGCTATAAGTGCACCTCGCATGGCATTGAGGAATGGGTGGTGCAGAGGTGGCGGTGATTGTGGAGTGGTAATATTGACGAGAAAGGGAAAGAGTAATATGTGGTGAGGGTGGGTTGACAGAATAGAGGAGCAAGGTGGAGCGTGAAGGAGAGTGATGGTTGGGGGTTGTAGAGTAAAATTAGGCAAAATGTGGCGTCGCGATGGCCGAGTGGTTAAGGCGATGGACTTGAAATCCATTGGGGACTCCCCGCGTAGGTTCGAATCCTGCTCGCGACGTTCGTTTTCCGATTGCTCTACCTCGCTATTGCCATCGTTCCTTCGTTGCACTCACGGGTTGACATGAGGTTGTTACCAAATTCCCCTCTTTAACAACCATTCAAGCTTGCAGTTTCTGTGATGGATCTGTGTATCAGCCTCACTCATCACCGCCATCGGGCATGTTGCAGAGATGGAGAAGCCAAAGGGAGCAGATTTACGGCCACTCACCGACGATGACAACAGTATGCTCTTGTTTGACCTTTAGTAACAGTGAATTGACTTGTCGACTATCGTTACACCTTCAAAATAAAAAAAGCACAGCTTTCCTCGTTACCGTACGCCATTATTTCACTAGGCCATTTTTGCATTTGGAAGCAGTTATGCAGGTGAGGAATCTGAGGCGTCCCGGGTCATCACGAGAGTCGCAGAATTCGAAGCTCAACTATTTTTACTTTCCGACCATCAACAGCAACATTTCGTGCTCTCCTTCCATCGCCTCACTCCTTCAAACAGCCTCGTATTAGTACCTACGCCTACATCAATATAATGCACGGTAAAAGCACACGCTTCTGCGACTGAATACTTTTCGTGCACACTGGTAGTGGAGGCCAGTTGCTCGTCTTCTTGCCAGTTTCTTTATTATGCCTTGTCGTTGGTTCTGCGACACGACGTGACTTTGCTCGCTTGCAAATAAGCATCTTGTTGACGATTCAGAGGTGCCCTTGTGCGGATACGGGTCTGTATTTGTTGCCCTCAGAATGACGTAGTGCCACCAAAACTCCAATTCAATCAGATCAGTAGAAATTGAAACTTTTGAACTGCTGACACTCAATCTGCTCCTCGCTGCCTGCTTATTTCGCCTGGCTGATACATTTGCTAACCTTGTCGGTCATCCCCTCTCCCACACCGTAATGCACCAACATACATTCATGCGCGGACAAAAGACGCTTGCTGGCGGTTCTGACACTCAAGTCCAGTAATCCACATGCACCATTTCGCCTGAAAGTCGGCGCCTTTTGAAAGATCCGAGCATGCACTTTGTTCCCTGTCATTTCTCGACTTTGACAACAATCCAGTGATGCCTCCTCCACTCACCCATCTGTAAGCAGTACCTCCCATTTCTCGTCCGACAAGCATCCTACTAGACGGTTGCGAGTCACGTTGACGCACGAAAGGCGTTTCAATCGCCTTCGAAAGTCGCCTTTGCCTTCTGATCAGGCAGCCACATATCAAGCTTTACCTTCTAACGCGGATGTTGATCTCCATTATCAAGTAGTCATACACACACACACACAAGGTATACTAAACTGCATCAGTCAACATTCGGGCGAAAGGAAAGGGCAGTGCCAAAGTGCCCTTCGTGTTGTTCGTCAATCCCGTTTGGAGAGTGCACCGACTCCCAACGTTTACCAATTAGACAGTCAGAGTGCAATTGTGTTACCAATCGTTGAAAGCCGATGGGCAAAGTTCTCATTTCATCCCAGTCACCAGGAGTTGTGCCGATATTACCAATTAAACTGGCCACCACTCCACTCTAACACTCCACGTGCCCCATTCGTGGTCACGACTGCAAACGTGGTCAAATAGTCAGCACTGCCTGCCAGAGCACCATCTTGTCGCGTAGCAGCATGCTGCCATTGTCGCGATGAGCA